TAAAAAACGAGCACAGCATTTTCCCCATTTTTATTCATTTTCCCCGGCAGCAATGGGTTAATATATTTTAGTAACTTCTTGCACTAGCATTTATAAATATATTAATTTCCTCATAATATCAAATCATGACCCTCAAGAGAAACTGCTATAGACAATACTTCCTATTAATTCTTAGAGAATGTTTAGCACCAAAATGTGTTTCGGTGCTAAAAAAGAAAATTACTACTTAGTATTAAACAACACAAAAGCTATAAAATATATATATATATATATATATATATATATATATATATATATATATATATATATATATATATATATATATTATTTTTATTTATTTTTTTTTTTTTAACAGCCATTGATTCCACTGCAGGACATAGGCCTCTCTCAACTCAGTATTGAGAGGTTATATGGCAGTGTCACCCTTGCCTGATTGAATGCCCTTCGTAATCAACCGCGGTTCGGCGCGTTAACACTTGTGCCACGGCGGTGACTTCCCCTACGACACCTGCGTCTGACTTCTCAAGCCGATATGTCGTTTTCTCGGGATCGAGCAAGCAGTCAGAAAGCAGGCATTTTTACGACCGCCGCGACGGGGAATTGAACCCGGGACCACGAGGGTCGGAGGCCAGTGCTCTAACCACTGAGCTATCGCGGCAGTCATAATATATATATATATATATATATATATATATATATATATATATATATATATATATATATATAAAATGAATATGCAATTGATTGTAACCAAATTCCTTGTATAATTCCTTCCATAAGAGAGATTTTTGGGGTAATTCACCTTTCAGCTATGTGTTGTTAACCCATTGCCGCCGGGGATGGCATGTATGTACATGCCATGCCCACTGTGAGTCGACTTGTTTGATTGTTTTTACACATAGATGGCTACACTTGTACTAAGTATCCAATGAGCCAATTACGAGTACTGCCTGTCTCGCCCGTTCACCCTTTTCATCGATTTACGAAAATATTTAACGTTATGCTAATTTGCTGTTAAAAATAACACCATCTATATTTTTAGCACTAGTAAAAATATGTTTTTTCCTGCCAATTCAAGGAAAGGTGAAATCAGGACTAGCAGAGCCATCAATGGGCAGAGATGTTTCACAAAAATATAAAAAATGAGTACTGCATTTCCCCATTTCTTTTTTCATTTTCCCCGGCGGCAATGGGTTAATTAAAACTGGAGGAAAGCAAAATCCCTAAAATTTATTATTTCTATGTGAAACAATTTTTCTAGACTCGGGTTCATATGAATTAAAAAAAAAAGCCTTTAAATACATTAGCTATCCATTTCTTGTACCTAAAGAGTAAATCCATGGGAAATTTAAATATTTCTCATGAATCAAGTTTTCTTGTAGTTTATATGATAAATTATATGATATTTTCCAAGTATTTGAGAGTTAGAGAGAGAGAGAGAGAGAGAGAGAGAGAGAGAGAGAGAGAGAGAGAGAGAGAGAGAGAGAGAGAGAGAGAGAGAGAGAGAGAGAGAGAGAGACAGACAGACAGACAGAGACACACAGACAGAGACAGAGACAGACAGACAGAGACAGATAGACAGACAGACAGAGACAGATAGACAGACAGACAGACAGACAGAGAAAGATAGACAGAGACAGACAGACAGACAGACAGACAGACAGAGACAGACAGACAGACAGACAGACAGACAGACAGACAGACAGACAGACAGACAGAGAGAGAGAGAGAGAGACAAAGAGACCGAGAGAAACAAGGAGACAGGGAGAATGTATATTTCAGTAGACAAGTCTTCTGTTGGTATCGTATCACAATTACCAGCATTACTAATTTTCATCATCATCATTTCATCGTTATTCTAATAATCAGCATCTTTGTGATCATCAGTATTATCTTTACTGTTAAAATCCTCCTCAATACTTTTTTTTTTCTCTCTTTCTTGTATAAAGAAACAAGGGAACTGAGAGCAAGTGAATGAATATATATTATTCAATATTCTTAATATGTATTAACTACGAACTGTCTAACGTTTCTCATTCTTTGCACAGAAATCTTTATCTCCACAGGATGAAGCCTTAAAGTTCATGAAAGGATTTTCATAGATTTCATGTGTAATTCATGATATTGTGTATGTGTCTGTGCCATTTACACTCCATCCTGCTAACAAACCAGGCAAAAATCACCGGTTTCTCGCAAGCAGGAAATCCCACCGAAAGAAGTGTGACGTGATACCCGCTGCATCACCTTAGCAAGCAGGTATGACTTGTGCAATGCCGGCGAGTTCATAAGGTTAGAAACATATCTTAGGCAGGAGACATTTATTTGGTGTAAATGATGGTAAAAGTTTATTCAAGGGTGTAACAATGGAGAAAATTGCAATAAAGGACTACGGTAAAGTAAAAACACAAGCAATATCTAACTCTGAAGTCTGGATTGTTACATAAAAAAAGAACTTAAAGTAAGCCTAGGCCAGAATGTTCAGTAAAGTCATCCTATACCAGTTTCCAGTCACATCTTCAGTTTATACTAATCTATTACAAAAATAATATTAGTCACAGCCGTAACTATAATCATCAAGAACTAATAATGAATAGTATTGAATAATAATAATGATGATATGAATAATAATGAATCATAATAATAATGAATAACAATAATAATGAATAACAATAATAATGAATGGCAATAAAATAATAACAATAAAATAATAACAATAAAATAATAACAATAATAATAATAATAATAATAATAATAATAATAATAATAATAATAATAATAATAATAATAATAATAATAATAATAATAATAATAATAAAACAACAAGTATATGGTAATAGATCAGCAAATATCATACAAATCTGTTACTGTATTGGAGTATTTACAGTATTCCTGCTGGTTACAATAACTAGCAAAGGAAAATATATGAGAGAGAGAGAGAGAGAGAGAGAGAGAGAGAGAGAGAGAGAGAGAGAGAGAGAGAGAGAGAGAGAGAGAGAGAGAGAGAGAGAGAGAGAGAGAGACAGAGAGACAGAGAGACAGAGAGACAGAGAGACAGAGAGACAGAGAGACAGAGAGACAGACAGACAGACAGACAGACAGACAGACAGACAGACAGACAGACAGACAGACAGACAGAGAGAGAGAGAGAGAGAGAGAGAGAGAGAGAGAGAGAGAGAGAGAGACAGACAGACAGACAGACAGACAGACAGACAGACAGACAGACAGACAGACAGACAGACAGACAGACAGAGAGATGAGACTATGTAGTTAATTTACATTAAATTTCCTCATTGTGACCAAGTTTCCAAATACAGCACTTTATTCACTTTATCTACAAAACTGATTGACAGGATGAAGGACTACACTCATAAAAATTGTGGAAGCTTATGCAGAGAACTGTGTAGAAAAATATCTCCATTCTGAATTCCAAATTTCTGTCGTTCCTAAAGAAAATAAATTAGCAGATTTGGAAATGAAGTTACTAGAAAAGAACAATGAATAAAGGATACAGGTTTCCTTGCTTGACAGTTATGCCAGTCATGTTCCCTCAAGGACACTCTTACATAAGGCCCTTCTGCTCTTCCAACTATGCCTTCATAATCAGTATTCAAACTTTGTACTGATTGAATTACTACCACTTATTTGCTTTTTTAGGGTTTAATCTTTATATTTTTTTCTATCACACGGTGAGATTTCTTGCACCTTGTGTTCTTTAACATGAAATTCATTTGTTCTGGGGCAAAATCTCTAGTTGCATGACTTGGAAGTTTCCCTTTAAATATGTAGATTTAAACCTGAATTCCTGTTATGTTAATATTGCTGCAATATAACACAAAGGTGACCATCTTCATCTATCACTATGTAGGTTGTATCAAAAATCACTACGGCCTCTTTTATTCTCCTTCCATGAAATGAAGGCCACAAAATAGGAAAATAATTCAACCAGAATCACAAGATAGCAACATTGACAGCAATGAAGCACCTTGTAATTGTAGAGAATTCATTCTAGATTTAACTACCTGTGTATGAGGCCAGCCTAGTGCCCATGCAGGAAAAATTAGCACCATATATCTATGAGTGGCACCTATTAGCAGGTTTCTTTGTTTATAATACCACCTCCACCTCAGCCTATCCTGTACTGTGATTTAATGTGCCTTTCCTGTGTTCATGTTTGTAATTTCTTGATATAAGCAGCACAAGTTTCTGCTTTCACTTTTGTAGTCACCAAATTAGATGGTTGTGTTCTTAAATCTTGTACCACTTGACACTAGGTAAACTTTAAATGTCCTGATATGAAAAAATGGTTCTTAGTGTTCATTATGGAGGTTTATCATTAAATCAAAACTTTTTTTGCAACTGTACTTTCAAGAGCCACAGCAAGATCAAAACCAAACTGTATTTATTATATTTAAGAAAAATTATCTGCCACATCAACATCTAAGGTCATTAGCAGTGTACTCAAAATATGGCAACTGAGTGGGGCTTGGGGGTGAAGCACTCTGGAAATTCAGATTTTTGGTTTGTAGAAGCAGTGTTTGGTTAAAACCAGTAAATGTGCAGATATAGGTGAAAAGGGTAAAACTGAATTAATAATTAGGATAAATGGACAGAAGATGGAGATGAAGAGAAAGAAGAAGAAAGATGGAGAAGACTTGCAAAATTACTCGAGGCAAGGGCCAAGGTCCAAGGCAGGGTTAATCCCCTACATTGAACTAGTCTCCATCTCTTAAGCCCCCCACCATGACAACAATGAGCAAGAGGTCTGGGGGTTGAACTTGTACACTAACAATTGGCTCTGCCAAAACTGTGGGCTCACGTGCATTTTTGGCTAGTGTAAAAATAGCTTTGTATTATACAGCATGAAAAGTAAAGCAAACAGACTTTATAATGTCTGTTAGCCTGAGGTAGCTACACATTTCCTTATTCCAATATACTTTTCATTATTAATTATACAAATGTAGACCTTAGTATCAAGGTTTCATTTAGCCTTCAAATACTTT